TAACTCAGGTGTAGTGCTTCAGGTAGGGGCTTCTGAATGCAACATCCTACACTTATCTTAACCTTGTAATTTATTTCTTTTTTTAAAAAATAAATTTTGAAACAAAATTTATTTATTCTATTTGAAAGTCAGGGAGAGAGCGAGCGAGCGAGCGAGCGAGAGAGAGAGAGAAATCTTGCATCCACTGGTTCACTCCCCAGATGGCTGCAATGGCCAGTGCTGGACCAGACCGAAGCCATGACCCAGGAACCTCTTCCAGGTATCCCATGAGAGTAGCAGGGGCCCAAGTACCTGGACCATCTTCCAGTACTTCTCTTAGGCCATTAACAGGGAGCTGGATTGGAAGCAGAGCAGCTGGGAAAAGAATCAGTGCCCAGATGAGATGCCGGCATCACAGGCAGCAGCTTTACTCACTACTCCACAGCACTGGTCCTTAACCTTGTTATTTCTAAAGAAGAAAGTCTCTGGATCTACTTCAAAGTTTAGACCTGAATTTATACCTTTATATGGTTTTGCTTTGAGGCTATCCTGTTATTGTTCATTTATCTTTAGCCTAAATTTCAAAGTTTCTTGTCATTTTTTTCATCTAAAATGTTTAAAAAGCCTTTTTTATTTTTAAATTTTTAAATTTATATAAGGTGAACAAAGTTCATGTATTTCATAAATACAAATTTAAGAGCATAATGATCCTTCCTATCCCATCTCCCATCTTCCTTCCTTTTTTTTCTTTTAATTTTTACAATGACATACTTTCAGTTTATTTTATAATCACACCAAATAAAGAATAATATATATATACTTATATATATATATATAATCCACCCAATAAAGAATTCAGCAAGTAGTAAATAAGGAAACCACTGTTCCTCAGGAGTATAGATAAGGGCTAAAAACAGAATGTCAATTTCACTCATATATATTACTTTTTTTTTTTTTGACAGGCAGAATGGACAGTGAGAGAGAGAGACAGAGAGAAAGGTCTTCCTTTGCCGTTGGTTCACCCTCCAATGGCCGCCGCGGCTGGCGCGCTGCGGCCGGTGCACCGCGCTGATCCGAAGGCAGGAGCCAGGTGCTTCTCCTGGTCTCCCATGGGGCGCAGGGCCCAAGCACTTGGGCCATCCTCCACTGCACTCCCTGGCCACAGCAGAGAGCTGGCCTGGAAGAGGGGCAACTGGGACAGAATCCGGCGCCCCAACCTGGACTAGAACCCGGTGTGCCGGCGCCGCAGGCGAAGGATTAGCCTAGTGAGCCGCAGCGCCGGCCACATTACTTTTTTATGCTATGTATATTAATTAGCACAAATCAGGGAAAACATATGATATTTGTCTTTTTGGGACTTATTTCACTAAACATAATGGTTTCCAGTTGCATCCATTTTGTTGCAAAAGGCAGGATTTCTTTCTTTTTTGTGGCTAGTAGTATTCCATAGAGTAAAATATACCTTAAATCAATTTGGAAAGAATTGAGAATTGATCTTTTTTTCCCAATATTTAGTTAATTTATTCAGGTTTTCCTTTAAATCTCATAATAAATTTTGTAATTTTTTTATGTCTGTTATCCCTAGTCATTTACATGCTTTATTACTTCAGTAGTCCATTTTTCATTACTATAACAAGATACCCAAGGCGGGATACTGTTATAAAGAAAGATTTATGAGACCAGCGCTGCGCACAGTAGGTTAATGCCCTGGCCTGAGGTGCTGGCATCCCATATGGGCACCACTTAGAGACCCAGCTGCTCCACTTACAATCCAGCTCTCTGCTATGGCCTAGGAATGCAGTAGAAGATGGTCCAAGTGCTTGGGCCCCTGCACCTGCGTGAGAGACCCGGAAGAAGCTCCTGGCTTTGGATCGGCACAGCTCCGGCCCTTGTGGCCATCTGGGGAGTGAACCATTGGATGGAAGACCTCTATCACTCTCTCTCTGCCTCTCCTCTCTCTGTAACTCTGACTTTCGAATAAATAAATAAATCTTTTAAAAAAATTTTAAAAAGAAAGATTTATTTAGCCCTTGGGGTTCAACAGCATGGCCGTGGCAGCAGCTTGGCTCTGGTGAGGACCTCATGGTGGATGGTGTCCTGATGGTGGGAATGTGTGTGGGAGGAGGAAATCACCTCTCCAAACAGGAAGCCACTCAGACTGGGATCCCTCAGCTGCTTCATGGGGCATGCCTCCAGTCAACCACTGGCCACCACCTCTTAAAGTCCCCGCCCCCACACTGAGAACCAAGCATCCAATGCATGAAACCTTGGGGGACAAACTAAATCCAAATGATAGCAATTACCATTGTGAATGGCATTATTTTTCCATTGTACTTTAAAGTGGCTATTCCAATTATGCTGGGAAATAATTTTTTTTTTGGTTAAAGATTTATTTATTTGAAAGGCAGTCACAGAGAGAGAGAGAGAGAGAGAGAGAGAGAGAGAGAGAATCTTCCATTGCTGGTTCACTTCTCAAATGACTGCAATGGCCAGGGCTAGACCAGACTGAAGTCAGGAGCCAGGAGCTTCTTTTGGGTTTCCCATGCTGGTGCAGGGGCCCAAGCACTTTGGCCATCTGCCACTGCTATTCCAGGTCATTAGCAGGGAGCTGGATTGGAAGGGAATCAACTAGGACACAAACCGGTTCCCATATAGGATATTGGCATTGCAGGCAGTGGCTTTACCTGCTACACCACAACACTGGACTCAATTTTTTATATTGTATCAAGTCACTTTACTGAATTGCTTTATAAATCTTGCAGAAGTGAAGGTTTGCTGCTCTCATATTCACAAACTGTGAATCAGGAGGATCTTTGTGTGTAGAGGAATAGATGACTTGTGTTGGCTCCTGGATAATTTTGCAGAGGCCCCATACAGTGTGCTAATTCTATATATGGTGGCAGCCTCTGAATGAGGGCATGAAAACATAGCAACCCAAAGATTCCAAGAAGCAAGAAAGAGAAGGTGTTGATATGATACATTTTGAACTTTCTATTAATATAAACAAAGGAAAAAGGATCCTTTAATTCTCTAGAAGAGCAATGGAGGCAATGGTAATGGTGATAAAGTTGAAAGCACTGATAATATTCAAGATAGCATGGCCCTGGAAAATGTGGAGGGATAGGTCCAGAGACATTGTAAGGGTAACTTGTGAAGTTTTGATGCCATTGTAATATGTATGTCTCTGTTCTACAAGGGCTGTGTAAAGCCTTTATTGTCGATGATGAGTTAGGCCATTGAGCATCAGGATGCATGAGCAGAGAGCAGGAGCCAGAGCAGCCTGGGATTGGGCCCCTGCACCCATGTCGGAGACCCGGAAGAAGCTGAGGAAGACTGTCAGTCAGAGAGGACTGGAAGACTGAATCCTCTGATTATGAAGAATCACGGTCACGGTTGCACTACAGTCTGTCTGAGACTGCCTTTCCTTAGGACTGGGATTCCACTGGGAATGTCAGAGAACAGCAGAAAGTGGAAGACATGGGCTTCAGAGTTAGCCAGACCTGACTTCAAATCTTGGTTCTGTCACTCAGTCACTATTTGTCTAATTTGGCTTCATCCCAAAGTGGATTTTAAGACAAAGACTGGGTGCAAGTAGTTTATTTGGGAAGCACATGTTGAGGTGGAGAAGTGGGATGTGATAAAGGGAAGCCCTTAGAGTGTGAGTGAATTACTGCTATGGGCAATTAGATGTCAGTACTATGGGGATCCTCGGAGAGACAGTGTAGAATACATTTCAGTATTGTTCCACCAAGGACAATGAAGCGTGTGTGTATGTGTGTGTGTATGTGTGTGTGTGCATGTGTGTGTGTGTATTTGAAGCTAGCATATTTATTTATCAAGCCCTGGTCCTTGTTTGAACGTCACTCTTGGGGGCATTAACTCTCCATTACCTCTGGTGAGCCAGCTTGGTTGCATAGCTCAGGACGAGTGCTACAATTATGTGCCCTTGTCTATTTTCATTCTCTAAAATAGAGATTAGAGCACTGAACTGTGCTGGATTAGTGGAAAGATAAAGCACATTAAAGTTCATAGAGTGCCTATCATAGGTTCTGGAACATAGTTGGGGTCAATAAATGATAGTTTTAGGAGCGATAAATTAACATGGGAGGACACTGGCTCTTTGTCTATAGCTGACTTCAGACTTGTTTTAGCACTATAATTTGTGTTAGAGAAGACATCCAACTGGGGTCAGAAGGTGAAATCTGTGATCTTAAGGTAGAGACTTTTCCTTGGGTGCAGCCACCCCCTCCACCATAGGAACAAAATCTACTTTTACAGGCATCACTAGCCTAGCAAGACGCAATTAGATAATTCTCTCAATAGTAAAGCTTTTGCCAATGGCTGTGCATTTTGTTGCCTGCTAGGGAAAAGAAAACTTCTACAGAGGAGTGTTAGCTTTCTTGTACCTATAAAGAATGTTGACCAGTTCATGTTGAACTCAGAGCACATCCAAGTTGACATAGATGCCAAACTGATAGATTATTTTTACCTTTGTAGTAAAATCTAATCATAGGTATTATCACAACTTGGGCATAGCTTTGTGGTGTTTACCTGGGAAAATGTAGAATGGGAGAAGTTAAGAACTACATGCTCTGGCTGGAGCAGTGGGCCAGTGGGCTTGGCAGGTATGTGAAAATTAATATGGGAATTTGATGAGCAGAATTGTTCATGCTGGAGCATTGGGTTTTATTCTTGGTTTTGTTTTCTTTTGGGCAGGTGGAGCTGAGTATGGCCAGTGTTGTTTCTAATTTGAGACCTTGTGGGAAGCAAGATGCTGTGAGAAGGGCTGCGTTTTATGTTGCCCTCATCTAGACTGGATGATGTAGTTGGAGTCCTGGAGGTAGTACTATGGAGTTCCTCCCAATCGGGACCTGAGGGGAGAGTTCGGGTTGTGTACACCCTCGTGGCAGGTACAGGAGAATAACTGAGCAACAGTCCTCCCCTTCTTCTGTGCTGATAGAATCTATTTTTACTCATCTATCAGATGGCTATTCCTTGATCTTGGGAAAGGAGATCTAGTCTCAGGACTATGAATCCTGTCTGCCCAAAGTCAATTATGGTAATCTAGTTATAAGTCTCAGTGATTGATCTGAGGTGGCCAAGTAACCAAAGAGAACATCTGATGGAGATTTTAGAAATATCTGGTAAAGACAAGCCCTGTCTAATTTCCCTTCCTGATTTTGAACTGGGGTTGTGTGAACACATAATGTCTGGTATTGTGGTAGCTATTTTGTGACTTTAGGGGTGGAAAATGGAGCAATTCTGTGTCCTTAACGACATCACTGAGACACTAAATGGGACCTGGGACTGCGTATCTCTGGTTTCTTATAACATGAGACTCCCATTGTTCAAACCGCTTCTGATGGGATATTCTGTTATTGAAGCCAAAAAGCATCTTGATGGGTAGAGATCTAAGTAAAGAACAAGTTTGGGGGGAATATTAATGACCCTGATTTTAGGAGTACAGATCCATGGAAGATGAGAAGAGCTGAACAGACCGAAACTCCTGGGGAAGGCTCCATCACCACTAGCCGGAACGGAGGAAAGATCTGGGACTCTCTGAGCAGGAGGACTGCGGTACTGCCAACAGGTAGGAGGCCAGTGAGAGCAGACGTGACAGGGGAGGCTACTTGGTGAGGCCTGAGGGACTGGTCCAGCCATGGGAGGCAACCCCTGCACTTTCCTTCTGTGAGAAACACAAGAATTGGGGCTGTAGTGATATTCCCACCAGGTACCTGATGATAGTGGGGAACACAAAGGGCTTCACAGCCCAGCATAATAGGGCCCTGCCACTCATTTGAGCACAGCTTCAGTTCTCTTAGCCATAAAATGAGTATAGCCATTTGGTCACCATAAAGATCAAAATACATTAACTCCCAGGACATAGTGGGATTTTTATAAATGACAGTTATTGCTAACTAGCTGAGGCCAGCAGAGGTCATGATCCACCAAGGAGCTTGTCTATGTATATGTATATGTCCATCCACCATGCGTGGTCAGGAGGTGCTGTGGCAGATCAGGCCAATTTGAGACTTGCTGAGGCAGTTGGATGTTGATCTACCCTAACTGGTCTCCAGGAGAAGACACCCTGAGGGTGGAGTTTTAGGAAACCATTTCTTCTCTGCCCCAGAAGGATATTAGAAACAGGAGACGCCGGCGCCGCGGCTCACTAGGCTAATCCTCCGCCTTGCGGCGCCGGCACACCGGGTTCTAGTCCCGGTCGGGGCTCCGGATTCTGTCCCGGTTGCCCCTCTTCCAGGCCAAGCTCTCTGCTGTGGCCAGGGAGTGCAGTGGAGGATGGCCCAGGTCCTTGGGCCCTGCACCCCATGGGAGACCAGGAGAAGCACCTGGCTCCTGCCATCGGATCAGCGCAGTGCGCCGGCCGCAGCGCGCCTCCGCGGCGGCCATTGGAGGGTGAACCAAGGGCAAAGGAAGACCTTTCTCTCTGTCTCTCTCTCTCTCACTGTCCACTCTGCCTGTCGGAAAAGAAACAGAAAAAAAAAGAGAAACGAAAGAATCGGGAGACATTTTTTGGAGAGGAGGTGGTGGGGAACATTAATGTTTGCTCTGGTGTTGCCTCCGCCTGAGCAGGGAGGAAGATGAAGATAGAATTTGTGCAGTGCCCACAGAAATGAGTTGGGGACAAGGGGGTGGGGTGGGGTGGGGTTTCTAAGGTTCCCAGGGGATAGGGTAGGGGCTCATCTTGGGCTCTCAGACTCCTGCAAGGAGGCAGTGAGGACTGCGGCAGGCTACACACCCATCTCATCCTCAGCAATGTGTGTGTTGAAGCCCCAGGAGCACAAATGTCTTAACCAGAAGCAGAGGCTTCCTGTTCACGGATACGGGGTGGGAGATGGACCAAAATAACCACACGGGGTTGGCAGGAGACTCTGAGAAGCCACCCTTTCTCTCCCAGAGCCCCTCCCACACACCCACCCTAAGTAATATCTAACCCGGGATCATTCACAGAAGGAAGAAGAATAGAAGTTGCTGGCGTTTGTAGTAACAGGATGAGAAAGTACGAGACTTCCTGTTATGTGTGTGTGACAGCTGGTGATAAGTGGAGGGCCCTGCACAGGAAATCCGCCCAGCTTCTGCATTGTGACCTGCCTGAAGCTTGGGTGCTCCTTCAGTCTGGTGTTGATGGCAGGACAAACGGGCGCCTGGACCATGAGCGACAACGCGGTGGAGAAGAGTTTAGAAGAGCCCTTGGCGCCTTCTGCGGATGAGTCCTCTCAGAAGAGGGGAGACTTGGTGGAAGTCTTAAATGGGGATAAGGTTAAGTTTGATGACACAGGACTCTCCTTAATTCTTCAGAATGGCCTGGAGACCCTCCGGGTGGAAAACGCTCTGACGGATGTCATCCTGTGTGTGGACATCCAGGAATTCTCCTGCCACCGCGTGGTGCTTGCCGCTGCCAGCAACTATTTCAGGTCAGCATGCCTAGGACCAGGGTCAGACTGGGTGCAGGTTGCGAGAAATGTCTGTGCGGACGTGAGAGCCTGATCTAACTTGTTGCTTCTTGCATTTATTATCTATTAAGGTCTGCTTAGCTACAGTATAAGCAAGGAAATAATGGAATCTTGGATTTTAGGATTTAAGCCACTTTGAAAGAGATTACCATCCTTTAAAAGCAATGTTTATATATTATGGCGAGTCTTTTATGTATCTGTCCTTGTTCCAAAGGATGGAAAATGACTTAAGTCATGGGGATTTTTCTCCCCTCGGTCTGACTAATGTGCTGGAAACATGGTATTGTCTGTGCTGATCAACAAAGGTGGAGAAAAAGGATGTGGTCCCTTTTGGGATTATCAAGAGACTCACTGAACAGCAGAGACTCCGTGTGTGTGCAGGGGCTGGGGAGGGGGGCAGGAAGAGCCCTTAGGTGCTTTAGATGCAAGAGGCCCCTCATTACAACAGAATGGCGGTTTCACACGGGCAGACCTGGAGGCAGGAGCCCGGGCTTCTGTCTCACTTTGCCCTTTCCTGACAATGCACTGAATTTTCTGTTTTGTCACCTAAAAGGGGGTCAGTGATGCTTTCCTCCCAGGTCTGTGTGATAATTAAATGTGAGAGTGAAAAGGGTCTTACATAGCTCCTGGCACATCGTAGATGCTCCATATATCTGTGTTGAAATTTTGCCCCTGATTCTGCTCAGTTCTGCTAAAAATCCATTTACTGAGTGTTTACCACTAGCACATCCCTGGGGTGGGAACGTGGGAGAATCAGGAACCCGGTGAATGTGGCTGGATCTGGGTTCGCTGGATCACTGTGGACACGAGGGGGACCAGTCCTCAGGGTAATGCAGATGAAGCGAGCGTTTTGCAGAAGTGAACACTCAATACCCTTTATCATTCTTCTTAAGGCTAGAATTCTGGCCAAGGAAATGGACTCCTTTGACATGGAAGGTGTTTTCTTTTTTCACTTCTCTGGAATTCAGATAACTGGGTCAGCGAGGGTTGTGGGTTCCTGTGTTGTCGAGGCGAGGGGATATCTGAGTTTGAGGGAAGTAGTTCCTGCCACATGCTGGACAGACACAGTTATCTGATTTTATTTTTGCCACAGCGCATTGCAGGTGGCTGACACCCCTTTAACAGATGGGGAAATGGAAACACTACATTATATATCTGGGAGCAGAGTTAGAAAACATTCTAGAAATCCTTGTTTTAACTGTAGAAAAATGTAAAAAAATAGAAACTGCCACTAAGTTTGGGGTTTCATTCCATAAAAGCTAAAGTGTAAGCATCACCAAAAAATGGTTGACAAAGGTAAAATGCTATACTCATTCCACCATTATTTATTTATTAGAGAGGTAGAGTTAGAGAGAGGGAGACAGAGATAGAGACAGAGACAGAGACAGAGAGGTAGGTTTTTCCATCTGCTGGTTTACTCCCCAACGGCCAGAGCTGAGCTGATCAGAAGCCAGGACCCAGGAGCTTCTTCCCGGTCTTCCACGCTGGTGCAGGGGTCCAAGGACTTGGGCCATCTTCTACTGCTTTCTCAGGTCATAGAAGGGAGCTGGACTGGAAGAGGAGCAGCCGGACATGAACTGGCGCCCATATGGGATGCCCGTGCCACAGGCGGAGGCCTAGCCTATTGCCACAGCGCCGGCCCCTGTTCCACCATTATCAATCGTGTGCTTTCCCATTGATCACAGCCCATTTCAAGAGTGAATGAAAGTCAGTTTAGCTCAGTGTCCTGGGCATTCACTTTTAGGTTTGTTCTTTCTGTTTGGAAGCCCTGGAGAACGGCTGTCATATAACATGCATCTGGTTAGCAATTTTGTGAGTGAGATGACCGGCTCCAGGCAAGAATGCTGCTACTGTGTGCCCTCGAGTGATAGAAGGCATTTGGGCGCTGGATACTCAGGCGGCGATGAGAAGCTGGAAGCACGCGGGATTGTACGTGTCTGCCTATGGATGGTACAGTCTCTCCCAAAGCTGCCTGGCCAGGGAGGAAATTCTTTTCCTTCTTTTCTTTTTCGAGCAGTAGCTTTTGATTCTTCTCTTGAGATTTCCCACGTGACTTTCCTTCTCTAATGAAACAGTTCTGGAGACAAGATTCTTTTTTCCGGTGCTGCTTCTGTTTGCTGAGCACTCACCGTGGGCCAGGCCCTGTGCCACCTGTGTCACACACTCATATGCTCACCCATGTAACCCGTCACCCCCACCCAAAAAGGACAGGGGCGTTGCCCCCCGTAACCCCCATCTATTTTGCTTCTTTCTTTTTCATCCGAACACGCAGAGTGTGGCAGTGAGAGAGACAGAGAGAAAAGTCTTCCTTTTGCCGTTGGTTCACCCTCCAATGGCCGCCGCGGCCGGCGCGCTGCAGCTGGCGCACCGCGCTGATCCGAAGGCAGGAGCCAGGTACTTATCCTGGTCTCCCATGGGGTGCAGGGCCCAAGGACTTGGGCCATCCTCCACTGCACTCCCTGGCCACAGCAGAGAGCTGGCCTGGAAGAGGGGCAACCGGGACAGAATCCGGAGCCCCGACCAGGACTAGAACCCAGTGTGCCGGCGCAGCAAGGTGGAGGATTAGCCTAGTGAGCTGTGGCGCCGGCCAACATGTAGCCCCATCTTACAGATGAGGAGCCAAAGTCCAAGGGTCACAGCCTCACTGCCTCTCTCTTGCTTCCTTTCTAAGGAGGCTGGGAAGCAAATTCCTCTGGGAACTTTCAGACACAGCCCTCTGTGCTTTGAAGAGCCTGGGAACTGGTGGGAAAATTATGTAGGTTTTTTTCCCCCCTTTATTCATTGACAAATAATTGCTTTCTACCATGTGACTGGCTCCAGTGTATTTAACCAACCTGCACCCACAGTCATTTGGATGTTTCTAAATGATCTGCTAAAGAGTAACCTCGAAACTGTCTCTTTCCATATGCATGGGAGAGTACCTTGGGATGCACTTCCGGGAGAGGCTACACTGGCTCCAGTGCATCTCCATTCCCAGTGGATAGCACCGGCTTCTGCTTGAGAGAACAGCTTAAATCACTCTGCATTCCCCACTGCCTGCCTGATGCATTTTACCAATATATTTTTTTTGATTTATTTTATTTGAAAGTCAGAGTCACACCGAGAGAGTAGAGGCAGAGAGAGAGAGGCAGAGAGAGAGAGATCTTCCATCCACTGGCTCACTCCCCAACTGGCTGCAACAGCTAGAGCTATGCCAGTCTGAAGCCAGGAGCCAAGAGCTTCTTTTGGGTCTCCCACGCGGGTGCAGGGGCCCAAGCACTTGGGCCACCTTCTACTGCTTTCCCAGGCCGTAGCGGGAAGCTGGATTGGAATTGGAGCAGCCAGGTCTCGAACCAGGGATTATGCCACAATGCCAGCCCCAATTTTTAAAATTAATGTTTATTTTTATAAATGAAGACATGCATATAGTAAATAGAGTCAAATAGTCTTTAAAGAATTACAAAGAAAGTCAAAAATTGCTCTTCACCTCTTCTGCCTTTTAGTCTTGCTCACCAGAAGCTACTATTTTTGACTTCTGGTTTTTTCTTCTAGCATTGTCTCTATATTTCTACAACATACACTTAACATTGATTTCTCAATGTTAGACATCATGAATTGGTTTCAGATAAGGATTTAGCACTAATTCCTGACCATATACTTCTTTCCCCATAATCTGTCAACAGAATGTTATCACAAGTTTTGGCTGAGTCAATTAAGAATTTACCTTATTTTGTTCGTGAAAGGATTGCTTCCTGTTGAGCCAACTTTGTACATGATTACATTTCCTGTCTTGTGGGCCTTTTTATCTTTCTGAAGTTTAATAATTCATTCCCTTTTCTACCTGCTTAGTTTCTCAATGTCTTTTATTCGTAACAATTTTTCATGTGGTCTAAAGCATCAAAGAATGGACCGATTCCATTTCCCCAGAGTCTTCCTCACTTCTGTCACCCAGTACGTGTTTTCTGAGCTTGCAGCCCATCCAGGAATTCCCCTTGACACACTCCCACATCCAACAGACACTTTTTCCTTCACCTCCTCCATTACTGTGCCTTGGTTTCCTTCTCACTTTGAGAGAGCACATCCTTCCTAAGAAAGGGTGCAGGAGAAGTAAATTCTTGAGGCCTTACATACTTGAAAATGTCTTTATTGGGGCTGAATAACAGCTCCCCAGAGTTGTCCTTGTCGCATCCCTGGAACCTCTAGGGTTCCTACAGTAGGTACTTTGCAGAAGTGACTATGTTAAGAGTATTGAGATGGGGCGATCGCCCTAGATTGGCTGGGCCCAGTGTAGTCACAAAGGCCCTTATTAGAGGGCTGTTGAAATTTCCAAATGAGAGAGAGAGGAGCAGCTGTTGGATATGCTTTGAAGACAGAGGAAGGTGTTGTGAGTCGAGTGTAGACAGCCCTAGAAACCAGAAAAGGAGGCAGATTCTCTTCTAGAACTGTTGCAGGGAGCACAACTCTGCGATTCATTCCCTGGCTTTGAACCTGTGAAGTCTGTTTTGTACTCCTGACTTGGTTTTAAACCACAGAGTTTGTGGTAATTTGTTATAGCAGCAGTTATAGCAGTAGTGTGAAACCAGTACTTAGGTGTGGATTTCTTTTTTAAGATTTATTTAGTAGTTATTTGAAAGGCAGAGTTATAGAGTTGCAGAGGCAGAGGCAGAGAGAGAGGTCTTTCACCCGCTGGTTCACTTTCCAAATGGGCACAATGGCCGGAGCTGGGCTGATCTGAAGCCAGGAGCCAGGAGCTTCTTCTAGGTCTCCCACACTGGTACAGGGGCCCAAGCACTTGGGCCATCTTCTACTGCTCTCCCAGGCCATAGCAGAGAGCTGGATTGGAAGTGTAAGCAGCCAGGATTTTTTTTGACAGGTAGAGTTGTAGACAGTGAGAGAGAGAGACAGAGAGAAAGGTCTTCCTTCTCTTGGTTCACTCCTCAAATGGCCGCCACAGTCGGCGATGCACCAATCTGAAGCCAGGA